GCCTAGTTAGAATGATTTCACTCGTGTTTGTAGTCGATTACAAATGGTGCCCTTCCGCGAGGGGAAGACACTGGCTGAATGTATCATATAGAGTGCATTACATAGTTTTGGTTAGAAGAATCCAATGATAAGTGAGTCATTCTTAAGAGAACGTTTGTCTGTTTATTTGGTTGTCAGGCCCGAATTTGGTTAATAGATATCAAAGGGACTGTAGCCGACAGTGATAAAGGTTAGAGGGACCGTAGTCAATGACCAATGGTGGCCGAAGGAATCATAGTATGTAGGTGATGATGGTCAAATGAACCATAGTCGGCCAGTGATGGAGGTTGGAGGGACCGTAATATGTGGGAGATAATGATAAGAGGGACCATAGTCCGGGGGCGACAGCGGTCGGAGGAACCATAGTTAGTGGATGATAGAGGTTGGAGGGACTGTAGTCGATGGTTGAAGGTGCTCAAAGGGACCGTAGTTGACGGGCGGCGAAGGTCAAAGATGTGAAACCTCTTATGTAAAAATATTTAAACGCTTAAACATCAAGGTGTCATTTGATATAATGGTTGGAATTTCATTCAAGAAACTCTGCAATTAACTATGATTATCCTAGAGTAATTCTATAATGGGTGACCAACTGGAAAGTTACATCAACAGAATAAAACTGTGAGGTTCTTATGCCAAAGCAGATAATATCTCAATAGTTAAGAATTTGGGTTGTTATAGGAGTGATCGTAATCGGTGAAAATTGGTAATCAGAAGAATCACAATCGGTGGGCAACAAAAGTTGGAGTGGTTGTAGTCAGTGGGAGATGGTGATCAGAGGGACCACACTCCGCGGGAGATGATGGTCAGAGGGACCGTAGTATGCGGGTGACGATGGTGGAGGGACCGTTGTTAGCAGGTGAGAGCAACAAAAGTCAAAGGGCCATAGTCGGCAGTCGACAAAGGTCAAAGAGACCGTAGTCGTTGGGAGATGATAATTAGAGGGACCGTAGTTTTACGTGCAAAGGTGGTTAGAGGGATCATAGTCAGCGGGCAATAGTGGTCGAAGAAACCATTATCGAAGGGATCGTAGTCTGTAGATAATAGTGGTTGGAGGGACAGTGGTTAGCAGGACCATAGCCGACAGGTGAAAATGGTGGAAAGATCGTAGTCAGCGGGTGGTGAAGGTCGGCGGTCGGGCGATGGTCCGACGATGCTCGAACGAAAGTCTAGCATTGGTCGACAGTCGAGTGGAAGTCCAATGGTGGTCGACTGATAGAAGGTAGTCCGACGAAGGTCGGTGGCCAGATGGTGGTCCGGTGATGGTTGGGCAAAAGTCCTGTGGAGGTTGAAGAATGAGTGGTAGTCCGACAGCGGTTGGCGGCAGGGTGATGGTCCGACTATATTAAGCGTTTGTCAAGCATTTATGTTCATAAAATGATGCCAAAATTCAGCGATCTTGGGCTCGTTGGATTTACCTCATTGAGGTGCTCGATTCAACTATAAGCATGTTATATTTGTATATCATTTGGTTATCTAATTTAGGCTTTGAACTTTCTATTAAAACTTTGGGCCCCGAATTGGACCCATTTGGGCTCGGATTGGACCGGTTTTTGTGTCGTTAGTTTCATCTCTTCGGGATATTTGATTTGACTATAAGTTTGCTTAAATTTGAGTTAAGATGATTCCAAATTTAATTTTGAAAGTTTCCCAATTGTATATGCCTTGAGATTTATGCATGATCAAGATGATTTTTGGTGATGTATCAATGATAAGAATTTGAAGTTTAAAATTTTGCTAAATGAAAATTTTTCATATATTTAAATGATGCAGACTTATATGATTTTAATTTAAAGATAAAATAAAAATATAAAAATTAGAAAATATATGATTAAATAACAATTCATGATAAAATAACGAACTAGACCTCACCCTATCTATATTATTATTTCTCTTATATTCTGAAGTCAAACAATTAACGATTTATACGACGATCTGGTTTTCAATTGATTTTTTTTTATCTTCACTCAAATTCAAAGGTGAAGGGGCATTTTGGGAAATATGTTTGGCGAAGGAAGCTTCGCGGCTCCTTCCCATGTAACTAATGAGGTGATACTTACGAGCGTTCTTTTCGGAATATTCCTTTCGTTAGTCCCACAAAAAGGAATATTCTTTAATTTTATTGCCAAATGCAGATTTTGGAGATCAGGAAATTTTATTTTATCCAGTGAACGTACGCTCCTCTATGTTCAGTTTTAGGCAAAAAAAGTACAATACCGAGTACCGAGTTGTACCGAGTTTTTTAAAAAAACTCGGTATTGCGCTGTTTTGGTCTAAAACCGAACGTAGATGAGCGTACGTTCACTGGATGTAATAAAAGTTCGGAGATCAGCCGCATATTTTAATATTTTATAATAATATCTTCTGAATTTATTCGGGAAGATTAAAGTGCGAAAGGGTCAATTTAATAAAAATAGATAAGAGAGAATACGGAATAGCCCAAAAAAGACAAAATTTATACCAAAAAAAAAATATTTAGACGAAAAATTAAAGAAAAAAAAAGTTTAGATAAAAATATGAGTAAAACGGCAGAAAAATCAGATATCCTAATCTTTTTTTTTTCACGAGTTAAATATTATGTTTATCTTTAAAATTTTAATAATTATTTTTTTATTTTAATAAAAATTTAGGTTAAGAAGTTAGACCCAAATATTTTTCCTATTATATAGTCAGGAATGTCAATAAATAATCTTGGTGTGACTAGAGTCGAAAAGTTCTGGTTCATAATAGCGTATTTATTAAGCTGATCAGCTTCGGATTTGGAATTCCAACTAATTTATTAAATGGGTGAGATCTAAGTTACCCTGCAAACCAGCTTTTGATCTGAAATTACATGTTTAATATTTTTCTTAAATACTTTTTAATGTTGATATGATCTTTTTAATCAATTAGGCTAATTCTATATTTATAAGATTGATATTTCATCAAAATTATCTTGATCGGACACGAATCTGAAGGTAAAGTTGAATCACAATTTTCAAAATTAATTTTGAGACCATCCAAACATCGATTTCTACAAACATAGCCTAACTGAATATCTCGAAAAGACGAACCCAATGACACAAATTCGTTCAAATCTGAGCCCAAATGTGCAATATGTCCAAATTTAAAGTATGAACACGTTCAAAAGCTTTAAAGTATAAATTGGATGATCAAATGCTATCAAAATATTGCATGTCTATAGTTGAATCGAGTGGCTTGACAATATGAATCCAACGAGCTCAATATCATCGAATTCTGATATCATTATGGCATTCAAATGCCCAATAAACGGTCTATGCTCAAGGGAGTCAATGTCGGCCGTCCATTCGAAACACTGCCAATATACACTTGATCTTTTCACTATTTAGTAGTCATGCAACTCTAAAAATAAATATAAGTAGACCCACTATTCTTTACAAGGGGAGGAAGGAAAAAGAAGAGGAATAAGAAAGAGAAATCTGCTATCTCTCTTATCATTAAGCTCTTTCTTGATCACTACCGAAACATCATTGAACCACCGCCGGACTACCAACCATTGCCGAGCTTTTACCCGATCACCAACCATCGTCAGACTTCTGCATGACCACATCTTATCGCCATACATTGCTCGACCACCAGCCGTTGTCGGACTTCTGCTTGGCCACCAATTGCCGTCAGAATTCCTCTTGGCCACCAGCGTCGTCAGTAAATTATAAAGAATCTTTTTTTTTTCTTGGGGGGTTGGAAGGGGGGAATTTATAAAGAATTTAACTGAGTAAAACTCGGCCGCTGGCCTTAAATATTAATTAATTTCTTAAAAGAAAATTGAACTTAAATCATTTAGCAAAAGCAAATCAGATAAAGAATCTAACTGAGTAAAACTCTTTCGCATACAACTTCATCATTTACAAACTCTAACAAACCAAAGACATTGAGAAGCCGCAAATTCCTGTTCAAAGTAATCCACTTTAATATTTAAAATTTGAAGTATAATTATAAACTTCAAATATTAATTGGAAGTTCCAATAATCTTTATATTTGACATATTTATAATTAAATCCAACTATATGAGTTGAATCTACTAGAGATATTAAATATACAGTCTACTAACTCAAATTTTTTAGCAAATAATAAATGAATTTATATTATTTTAAAAATGTAAAAAAATCAGAAATATTTTTATTATAAAAATTTATTATAGTATATTAAAAGTTATAAAAATTTAAATATTATATTTATAAATATATATCCTATTATTAGGGGGTGTCAATTTTGGGTCACGGGTCAGGTTCATGTCAAACCCAAAACTGATCCGGCACTATTCGGGTCAGCCCGAACTCGACCCGTTTTTTACAAACTGGTCGGTTTTCCGAACCTGAACAGTCGGGTCAACCTGACACAACCTAGTTCCAACAAAAAATTACTAGTCTTCGGATCTAAAAAAACAAATCAATCTCCGCATTTTTGGTCAAAACGGGTCAATATCAGGTCGTCGGGTCAAAACGAGTTTTCGAGTAAAAATGGGTCAATTTCGAGTCAAAGGGCCAAACCGAATCTGACCCGATTTTTTAAACGGTTCGAATTGTTGAATCCGACCCGTTTTGGGTTTGAGTTGACCTTAACATGAAGTTTTCGGGTCGGGTTCAAATCAAATTTTCGGGTCGAATCAAATATTGACACCCATACCTATTATATTACAATTAAAATAAATAAATAATATATACTATATAAGCAAAGTAATTAATTATTAAATATTATAATTTAAGAAAATGTAAAATACTGTTGCGTCTTAAATTAAAACGTTCTTTTTTAAATTAAAATTTTAACGTCTTATTTTTACTTAATTATATGTTAAGTATGATCCTTCTTAAACATTAACCTCGTTCACACCTCGACAACGCCCACTGATAACGCCGTCATATGTCGAAAAACAGGACCGTATAGTACGACTGGTAGAAAGAGATTGCCGATTGGGTTAGGTGGACGGTACTATAAAGGGTGGGGCGGATAGAGAGACTTTCATCCACAGCCTCCCCTTGGTTTCACTTTTTCTTTCTGAAGAATATATACCATCTCTTTCTCTGGGATCGATCTACCGAGCTTGCTATATTGCATGGCAGCAACCAGTTCCAAGGGGCGAGCGATCGCTGAAAGCTTTGGGAAGCGACTAGCGAATCAGATCTGGGCCGGAAAGCCTCGTGATCCATCTCCGTTCTCCATCGCCAGGTTTTTATTGCCACATCAATAGCTAGTTCGATCTGCCCAGTGCTGTTTGCTTTCGGATGTAATGATCATTTTTTTTGTAGATTTTGGTTGGATCTGTTAGATCCGAGTGGCATTTTTTCTAATTCCTTTTTGAGATTCTGTGAAGTTTATCGAGTAATCTAATAGATGAATTTGACAGCCGTTTTCGAATTGAACTAACTTCATCCAAAAAGGATCGATCAAATTCATTTTCCACCAGCGAGTAGCTTTTTTATCGGTTTTTTATGCCCTGGCTCTCTTTAATTTGTTTAACCTGTTGTACTACAATTCTTTTTAGGGTTTATCTGGATGAAGCTTCAACTTTACTAAATAGCTGTCGATGATTTCCAAAGCCATGTCTACTTTGAATCTGGAAAACCGCAAAAGGAGAAAAAAAAAAAAAGGCCTAGCGTCTTGCGATATTCGATGCTTTCTTTAAAATTTTAACCATTTTTTATGCTTCAGGAGGGCGTCGCACTCATCTTCGCACTACGACAAGGAGGTAGAGGAGCACGTGAGGCCGGCCGTGGTGCCGGACCATGTAATTAACGCCAGTTCAGACAAGTACTGGGGCCCACACCCAACCACCGGTGTCTTCGGCCCTGCCGATCTGAACGGCGCCGCTGGTCTCCGCCATCTGCCGGCGGCCGGGAATGGTGGCTCGTCGGCGCTGGATCAGACCGTCCGGTTCCGCCCCCTCGATCTTGAGGACCTAGATAAGTCTCAAAACGTTTAAACCCTCGTGGGACGGTCACTGTTCTACTCCCAATTATAATATCTTTATGCAACCAGTATTAGATAAATAAATAAGCCAGGGAGTAGAGTGATGTGTAACGTGTACTCTATCATAAGGTTGTGTTGGGCTATGTGTGCCCTTGATTATCCCGGCAACTGCTTGCTGTGTAATGTAACTGATATAGTTCTGTTAATATATTATGGCTTATATGTCCGGAGTTGGGTATCTTGCAAGTATGACTTGGTGAATGTTTTTTTCTGAGAAATAGAGTTTGACATGTTATTTTCACAGGAAGATTCATCATATATGGATAAGCGAGAAGGATGTTAAGTGTCATAAGAGGTATTAAAATTTTTCATGTTAAACTTTTAAAAAGGAAAAAATCATGGGATTTGATCCAACAGAAATAATTTCACTTGTTTTTGTCATTGCTTATAAAGAATGCCCTTCTACGAGGAAGGTATTAGCATAATTTATTAAATATATATTGTACATGGCATATTATATAGTTACAGCTAGAAGAATTCAATGACATGTGAGGTGTTCTCAAGATAATGTTAACTTATTCGTTTGGTTTGTAGGATCATAGTTTGACGATGGTGGCCGAAGAAATTGTAGTTGGGCAACATAGGTTGGAGGGATCATTATTGGAAGATGGAGGTCGGAGGGACCGTAATCGGACAACAGTGGTCGAAGGGATCATAGTCGGAGGGTGGCAGAGTTCAGAAGAATCGTAATTGGTGGAAGACGAAGGTTAGGAGGATTATAGTTGGACGACTGAGATCAGAATGATTGTAGTCAACCGGCGATAGAGATAGAAAGGACAATATTCAAGCGATTGAGGTCAAATATACCATTATTGGGCGACGGAGGTCGAAGAGATTGTAGTCAGACAATAGAGGTTTGAGGATCGTAATCGACAGGCAACAAAGGTTAGAAGGATTGTAGTTGAGAGTCTGAGGTCAAAGGGATTGTTATTGGACGACAGAACTTGGAGGGATCTATGGGTGTCAATATTTGATCTGACCTGAAACTTGACCTGAACCCGACCCAAAATATTATAGGTTCAAGTCAACCCGTTTGCATGACGGGTCGGGTTTGGGTTTCGTTATTCGACTAGTTTATAAAATCGGCCAAGTTAAGTTCGGGTTGACTCAGAAACTTGAATCCAACCAAGTTGACCTGAAATCAATCCATGAGGGCAAGAGTAATGCACTGGTCTAAGCTTCATTCCCTAAGGTTTGTTTTTCCTCTTATGCATATATTTGCTATTGTTCAGCTTCTCGTGAAGTAGAGTTATGAATGGGTCCAAGCTTCTTCGCCTCTTTCACTGAAGTTGTTCATTTCGGATCGAAATCCTGAACGGGTCCAAACTTCTTCACTAGTTCGCCTCTTCTTTCGACATTATTCTTGTCAAATCGGAGTTCTGAACATGCCGAAGCTTCTTCACCTCTTCCTCCAACGTTGTTCATGTTGCCTCAAATAGTCCCCGAGTGTAGATCGACAAATGTGGCTATCAAAATTCGGGGTGGCGGGTCGGGTTAACCAGGCAACTCGACGGGTTGGGTCTGTGTTGAAATTCTTGATCAATTGCATAACCAGGTCAGGTTATGATCAACCCATTTAGACCTAGGTCAATTCAGGTTAGACACGAACCTAACCCATTGAACTATTTTGGCACTCATAAAGGGATCATTATTAGACAATGAAGGTTCGAGGGACCGTAGTAGGGTGATAGTAGCCGAAGGATAGTAGTCAAGAGGAAAATGAGGTCAAAGGGACTTAATAGGTCGTGTCGATGATTGAAGGGACTGTAGTAAGCTAGTGATGGTGGTATGAGGACTGTAGCAAGGAGACGATGGTCAAAGGGGTCATTATTAGGCAACGGTGGTTCGAGGACCTTAGTCGGAGGTCTGAGGGATCACAGTTGGGTGATAGTGGTTTGAGGGCAGTAATTAGCGAATGACGAAGGTTGAAGGGACTGTAGTAGAGGGATGAAAGTCGAAGGCACCACAGTTGGGTGACGGAGGTCTGGTGGAAACATGACATTGGCGGCCAAATGGAAGTTTAATAGCTATGGTCCAGTGGCGACAACCTGGTTGAGGTTTGGTGGACGTCCAACGATGATTAGCTAGTGAAAATCTGGTGGCGATGGTGTGTGGAGATGGTTTGACGACGATGGTGCTCTGAAATTCATGCCTTAAAGCTCTCTTGAATCTCTAGCCTAAGGTTCAAGCTTCCTTCGGTCCACTTCATATAGAGAGTGGGGGACTATTTATAAAATTTGAGAGTGACATGCTCCAAAAATATGGAAGATCCAGGGCAAATTCCGAGTGCTCTATTGGACGACCCATATCGATTCCCTCAATCATAAAGCATTCATCAAGCATTCAAGTTCCTTAATAATGTTAGAATTAAGTAAACTTGTTCTCGTTGGATTCGTCTCACTGAGCCTATCAATTCAACCATAAGCATGCCATATTTAGAGGTCATTTGATCATTCAATTAATGTCTTGAAGCTTTCAAATATGCTTTAAGCCATTGATTTCAGCTCATTTGGGCTTGGATTGGATCAATTTTGGTATTGTTTAGTTCTTCTTTCCTAGATGTTCAATTTGATTATAAATTTGCTGAAATTGGAGTTCATATGACATCAAATTTAATTTTGAAAGTTTCCAATCAAATATGTCTTGAGATTTGTGTTTGATCAAGATGATTTTAGGTGAAGTATTATTTAATATTTTAAGAAGAGCGAATGAAGAAGGCTCCCCGATCTCCGCTATCACTCGACAAAGCTTTAGGTTTAACTAAGGGTGCAAACAAGTTGAGTCAAGATCAAGTCAGGGGGTACTCAAGTCGAGCTCGGCTATCAAAACCCGAGCTCGAGCTCGAGCTCAAACTTGAGTCCAGTTCAAAATTCGAGCTCGACTCGTCTTCAAGTCGAGCGGCTTGTCGAGCTCCACTGTTGAGCTCGTTGTCGCGTCCGTCCCTCGTCGTCGCGTCCGTCATCCTGAGGTACGTCGTCATCCAGAGATCGCCCGCCGTTGAGCAGAGATCCATCGTCGAGCAACGATTCGCTGTCCCAAACTCGTAGTCGCATCCGCCATCGAGAACCTTTGTCCCGAGCTTGCCCGTCATCTTCTTGAGCTCCGTCGTCGAGATCCGTCGCCTGAGGTCATCATCCCTAGATCCGACGAGCTCTATCGTCGAGATCCATCGTCCCAAGCAAGTCCATGGACCATCATCATCCCGAGTAAAGCTATCGTCATTCTGAGCTCTAGTCGTGTCTGCTGTCTAGATCTACGCATGCTCTGTGATTTGGATTTCCTGCTCGCCAAATTTGGATTTCCGCGAGCTCTACTGTCGAGCAACTCGTAGAGCCGACGAATCGCGTCTGAGGCAAGTTCGAACTCGAGCTCGAACTCGTGTTTGAGCTCGACTCGCAAGCTCGACTTGTCGAGCCTGTTACCGAGTCAAGTTCGAGCCGGCTCGCGAGTCAGCTTGACACGGTTGCACCCCTAGGTTTAACATACAAATATTTATATTCAACTCGTGTGAAGAGAAGTGCTCGTTTTGGGTGTATAATCTCCCTCCTTACGATCGAAGACATCAAAATTTTTTACTTCTTTGCTTTTAAGGAGGTGATATTGTGGTTTTCTCATTTTCCTCTAGAAAGCTTTATTTCATTTGTTTGAGTTCAATTAATAGTTTATCATGCAATTCACAAGTGCCTAGAAGCACCCTCTATTGAATATGAGGTAAGAGTATGACTGAGGTCTTTGGCATTTATTTTACTCACTCTTGGCATGAAATGCCAAATGCGTAAGACTTTGAGTTTGCAATAATCTAAGCCTCTGAGAAGGCCTATTTCATCGTGTCTTAGTGGGAAATTATTCTGTGCGTACTTCAAATGCAAATGATCATCTGGATTGCCGTTTATTTGTTAAGTATTTATTGTGTATTTGTAGATACACAGTAAATTCTAAGTTTTAGTATTAAGTGAGTATTTAATGAGATTTTGCTGAGTATTGATTGAATGCTTGTTGACTTTTGCTGATTTGCTGCTTATTTGTTGAATATTTATTGAGTATTTTAAAATAAGCAGTAATACTCAACAAATAAACAGAAATACGTATGATCCTCTTCGTTTGAAGTCCGCACAGAATAATTTCCCGTATCTTAGTAGGGTTGTAAATAATTGACCTGACATATCAACTCAAATTAAAAAAATTCAAGAGTGGGTTGATATATTTAATAAACGGGTCGAGTTTAAGTTAAATTTTCGGATATGTTTATTAAATGGGTTGGTTTTGAGTTGATATGTGAACTTGCTTTTAGCCCAAAATAACTCACTTATGTCTTTTTGCTTTAAAATTTTTTAATTGTGGGAATAATCTTCTTATTTTTTTTATAAAATGTCAAAAATTTTATAGTCATAATATTCTTAATTAGAATGGGTTAATGTGTCAAGTTCGGATAATTTCGGTTGTTAAGGGGCAAGATTAATATTAGTCTTTTTGACTTGTTATTAAATGGAATGTGTTCGGATTGGTTGGATTTGGGTTGGATAAACTTCGAGTCAATCCTAAGCCAAACCTATCAACCCTCTTTGACGCCTCGAGCTCTTAGCTTGCGACAACTAAAAAATATTGATCGCATTATTTGAGTTAGTCAACAATAACATTAATATAGATTAGTACAATAGATTAATATGGATCCGCATAAAATTAGTAATATCTAGATCATCAACATAAAGTACACAGAGCTTATTGTCTTATGATCCCATGCAATTGATCAGGTACGCAATGCAACCTCCATTATGAGCGTCTGAGGGTTGTGATGAAAATATGAGTGCTATATGAAACTATAAGTATTTTCATTTACCTTTATTGATGAGTACAACACCGATTATATATGATCCATTAAAGCAGGCACAACGCGATCTTAAAATGTCTATTAGCTTTCTAATGTAATTGAAAATATCACTTTTAATTACAATTAAAGCTTTAAAAGCATTCCTTAATAATATTATTTTATTTTATTTTTAAAATAATATGTGACCAAATTTTAAAATGTTAGTGATGATGGGATAATTCAAAATGTCAATGCAATGAGCAAATCCACACCACTATCCATAATCTATCCCCTCACCTGTAAATAGGGGTGTCAATATTAATTGACACGATCTGAAAATTCGACTCGAATATGATCTTAAAATTTTCTTG